CCCTGATCGCCTTGTTTGTTTTCTGTTCCACATGTTCTTTAAACAACAGCTTCTTATCCAGGGTTACCCCAAGATATTTAACAGTGTCAGACATGTGTATTTTGATCCCATATACATTTGTCTTAGGGCTCTAAGATCTCTCTTCCTTGTGAAAGCGATAATAGATGTCTTGGATGGGCTAATTTTGAGCCCTTCCGTGTTACACCATTGGTCGATGATGTTTAGCGCCTGCTGCATCAATGATGATACAGTGTCTCCAAACTTTCCCTGTACAACACCCCCAGTGCGTAGAAACCCTTCTGCTCACTTCATTGAGTGCGACAGTAACCGTTCTGCAACTCAGCATGTTTTGGATCCATTTACATATTATAGGCTCCACTCCACGATTTGACTGAAAAGAAGTATTGTCAAAGGCTCCCTCTATGTCCCGAAAAGCCGCCAGAGCAATTTTTTTACGCTCTAATGAGGTTTGGGCCCTCTGCACCAACTCGTGGATAGCAGATTCGCAGGATTTTCCCATTTGGTAGGCATATTGGTTGTGATGTAGAGGACTTCTAGTAAGAACCTCTTCCCTGATGTGTCTGTCGATCAGCTTTTCTAGTGTTTTGAGTAAGAAGGATGTTGGGCTGATCGGGCGAAAGGATTTGGCTTGGCAAGCGTTCTATACTCTACAGATATTAACTCGCTTTTATAGTTAAAAAAATGCAGTTTCGAAATTGAATGTGAATATGGTTGGAAAAATTAAGTATGATGTGCTGTTCTCACATAATTACTTAATTAAACTGATTTTTGCATGGTTCCTAATTTTAACATCCACTTTTCGCGGAAACTTAGGCACTTTTATGCTACCGAAATATCTTAGATCTAATCCTGTGTTTGCTGCATCGCAAAATCGGTTCATTTTTTAAATACATCTCACAGTATTCTTCAGTAATTAAAATGCCTGTTTCTGTAAAAATGTTCTTGCGCCTGTAAAAATGTTTTTCTCTTATTATACCCAATTAACTTTAAGTGTATTAAGAGCGATAATTTTTAAATAACGATAGTTTGTTTTAACTAACTCTTTCCATAATGAATAAAGCGCTCCTGGATGATATCGATGATCTGGACTATGAACCAGATGGCGTTGAAAAACCACTGGAGGAAGTGCCGACTCCTGATCAAAATGGACGAGACTTGATTTTGGAATCGTATCATAAGTAATTTATTATTTATAGAAAAGTTTTGTGAAATAGCCAGTGGATTGTTTTTTTTTTTAGCTCTGAAACGCAGAATTTTAACTTTCAGCCATTAGTTTTTCCAAAATCAGCCTCAAGTATTCAAAGTTTTCGGTAAGTTCCAAACAAATATAGATTCTATCTTTGAAATACCTAAAATCGAGTTTTGCTGCCTGGACAGACTGAATGATATTTATTAATAGTCCAGGCAAAACGATATTCTTGTAATTTAAAAGTTATAAAATAATAACCGTGCATCCGAATCCATAGACGATCGGGTGATATTACATCCATACTTCTTACCATTAGGACAGAAATTATATTTATATTTCACTGTTATATTGCCTTCATGTACTTACATATTACGTATTTGCAGAGATTTTGATTATAAGCATCTAGACGTCGATATAGATCAAAATTCGTTTCGAACTCATTATAATTCATATGTGTCCAATTCAGAAAGGTCATACCATTTGGACTCTAGCGATGATGAGGAAAGTACTGTTCCATTTAGTAATTCCTCGTTTCAAGTATCTGGTAAGTCTACTATCAATGTTATACAATGGCTTCATTTCAAAACAAGCCACCCTAAATTGAAGAAATGCACAGTTTTGAAAAAGACATCAATTTAGATATTTTACAGAGTGTCTCTGAAATAAGACCCTTACCAGAAAATAAAACGATCGCTAGCGGTGCTTTTAAGCGGTGCAGCGCGTTCAGTGGTTTTTCTTTGGTTTTACTGAAGAGGAACTATAACAGACGCCGGTTGCGTTGTTTTAATGATAGGAATGAATGAAGTGGCAACATATTTTCAAAGCTACTGGGTCAGCCATAAATTATGACCGAATGACTTTTGCTCCTTTATATATGCAACGGCTGACAAAACCATTTAAATTAGTTTTTGGAAGAAAACGATCTTAATTTAAGAACATTTGTGCCAGCAACAACATGAAGTAGGCTTGGGTAATACTGTGTCTTAAGACACTTGTGCCGCTGTGTGTCTATCTGCCGCGACGCGATGCTTTGAACAACACTTCGGCCCACTCACACGGCAATCTACAGGGTACAATATGCAGGGCCCAATCTGTTAGAGTTGAGCAAGAAATGACTACCTTT